TTGGGTGCTGGGGGAGGTGTTTAACAGCACTGTGGCCTTGGTCTCTAACGTTGTGAATAATAAACTGCATTGCCTGATAGTCACGTGAAGTGTTGTTCTTGGCTCTGTGCCCCTTGGGGAACGGGCCTTTCCCTCACTTGTGTCTTGAACGGTGGGGAGCAGGGATGAAGGTGTGGGTGGCATGGGCTGGTTTGGATGTTTTCTGTTCTGAGACTAGTGTTGGTGGTGAGCTTCAAGCAGTTGGTGGGCAGCTCTGTTATGAACCCTGCTTGATGGAAGGCTCCCCTGGACTGAGGATGGGCTCGCCCTCTTAGGCTGACACGAGCGGGTTCTGGGATACGACCCGAGTCCTGTACTGGGAATCTTAGGGACCCGGCAAGACCCCTGGGCTGAAGTCCCTGCTGCTCTGCTTCATAGCTCTGCCTTCAAGGTTAGTCATGAACCTCTCTGCGGGCTCAGTTCTGTTTCCTGTAGCATGAAAACGGGCCTCGCCTGCCTGTCTCGAGAAGCAAGTGGGATGCATGTGACATGCCAACACTGTACATAATGAAACAAGGGCGACCAGGGTTTTGAGTTCTTGCTAAGTGAGCCTTGTACTGCCCGTCACATCACCTATGTCATCTCATTGAATTCTCACAGCAAATCTGAGGAGAGCTACCATGCTCTGAGGGTTAGGAAGGGTTTACGCCCTGTCTGCCCAGCTCCATCCATAACCCAAGCCTTTCCCGAAGTCCCCAAAGCCACTGGAATATTACAAATGCAGCCCCCCCACCCCCCCACCCCCAATCTGGGAGAGGGGAAGCCTTGCTGAAGGGGTCTTGGGGAGCGCAGGGGACAAGGCACTCCCTTAGAAACTAGTACGTGAGCCCTAGTGGATAGAGTGTCGGCCTGTGGACTGAAGGGTCCAGGGGTTGATTCCAGTCAAGGGCATATGCCTGGGTTGTGTGTGTGTGTGGAGGGGGGGGGGGGGCGGGGGGGCATGCAGGAGGCAGCTGATCAATGATTCTCTCATCATTGATGTTTCTAACTCCCTCTCCCTTCCTCTCTGAAATCAATAACAGCAAATAAATCAATCAATAAATAAGAAAGAAACCAGTACGCGAGGACTGGGAATTAGCAGGTCCTTTGTCCCTGCCCTTGCTTTGTCACTAAGTGCGGAACCTTGGACAAATCACTTAGTCTCCTTTTGTTCACTGGCAAAATAATAACATACCTCCCTCCCACAGCCAGTGGGAGGGCCCAGCGGTGTCCCAACGCCAGTCTGCGGACGGTGGCATCAGAACCCTCCCCACGCCCCGGGGAGCCCTGGGCCCCACCCTGGGAGGCTCTGGATTTGCAAAGGTGGCCGGGCTGGAGTCTGGACTCATGTTTACGGTATGACAAGCTCCCAAGGGCGACCAGGCCCAGCAGCCGCTGTTTGTTTATGAGATGTGTGTGTTTACATGGTAGGCACCCAAGACCCAGCCTCCAGTTTTCCTTGAAGGGCATGGGCATTCATTGTTTGTAGTGACAAAGACAGGAAGGGGGGCGGGGCGGAGAGAAACCACCTGGGATTGTACTAATGGGGAAATGGCTGAATAATCTGCATTCTGTTCACACTGTGGGAAATTCAGGAGCTCTCAACTAGAACGAGTTCCATCTCTGTCCACTCAGAGGGGCTTCCGTGAAGTGTCAGTGAGAAAAGCCCATTTCAAATTCGTTTGTTATATATATATTTTTTAAAATATATTTTTATTGATTTCAGAGAGGAAGGGAGAGGGAGAGCGAGGAAGAAACATCAATGATGAGAGAATCATTGATTGGCTGCCTCCTGCACACCCCCTACTGGGGATGGAGCCCACAACCCAGGCATGTGCCCCTGACTGGAATCGAACCCGGGACCCTTCAATCCACAGGCCAACGCTCTATCCACTGAGCCAAACCAGACAGGGTTTGATATCTTTTTTTATACACTGTAAAAATACACATTGTAAACACTCCCCATAAGTATATGTTTGTGTGAACGCGGTGGCAAAGAAAAAAGTGCTTCCCAGTTCGTGTTGGAGGATGGAAACGAAAAACGGGGGAGATTATGCAGCCCTTGTTGCTGCTGGAGCATGCGTCCATTTTTGCCAAATCTTCCTATTTTTCAAGCTAGGTTGGGAATCTGATCGTGAATTTTCACAAATGTTAAGCATGTCCAAATAATTTAAAATCTTCAATTTAAAACAAAACAAAACACCATCTGGGTTTATGAAAATGTCAAGTCCCAAGATCGGACGACTTTGGTCCCAGATGCTTTAGGCCCTAACGGTTAGGACAAGCATGTCAAACTCAAAGGCAAACATGGGCCGAATAAACAAGGTGTACGTTTATGTGGGCCGCAAAAAACAAAAGCTTCAATTTTCATAGAAACGTATGTTTATTTCCATAGAGACATGCTGAATACAGAGGGCTGAAATAAACGAGTCATCGTTAACACAAAATAATAGAATTTTAATAAAAATTAATATTTTTCTTGAACATTAACTTACCAGACACTGAATAACTGCACAAACGAATAAGTATAACGCAAATAAACCTATTTTTCTTGTTCTCCGAAAGCGAAATATTTCCTGTTGCGCATGCCAAACAAGTCAGTGCAAGACTAATGATGTGGCCATCGGCTGCTAAAATATTCGCCGCTGGTATTAGTGGAGAGAAATGTGCGCCTGCACGTAAGGGAAATGAATGCAACACGATCATAGTCATCAGTCATTAGCGAACGTTGTAGTTCGTTATTAATAATTATGTATAACAGGTTATTGTAAAAATTAAGTTACGAAAGTTTTATTAAAACGTTTCTTACAACCGTGATATTGGCTGGGCCGCAACAATATTCATTGTGGGCGGCATGCGCCCTCGAGTGTGACGCGCTTGCGGTGGGGAGACCGGTGGCCAGTCCGATGACTGCCTTGGAGGAGAGGGTCCGGGCGAACCGGGGCGGGTGTGCAGGCCCAGCCCAGGGCAGCGGGCTCACACCGCAGGTGTGTACTTCTCATGGGCTCCCCCACCCCATGGCTCTGAAAGGGGCCACTTTCTTTCTTTCTTTTTAAAAAATATGTTTTTATTGATTTCTGCCCTAGCCGGTTTGGCTCAGTGGATAGAGCGTGGGCCTGCGGACTGAAGGGTCCCGGGTTCGATTCC